TATATTATATTATATTATATTATATTATAGTCGTAATTTTTAACTATCCACAGCAATTCAACCTCATAAGTTACCAAACGCTATTACGTTGATTTTAAAACCAACACAGCTACTATAATTATAGTTTATCAAACATTCAGCTGCTTTTTGTAACAACTGCTTATTCCTTCAACACAGCTAAAAGCATTTTTTTTAAAATCTACAGCACTACCAAACTAAGCCACTACCAACTACATGTATGATCCACATAAACGAAAATCAAAGGTCTTGGGGTACCAGCAGGACTGGAATGCAAGATTTGCTTGTAAGTCTTCCCTTCTTTATTTTAGAACATACACAAGAGTCAGGAAACAAGAAATTCATTTTCTTGTAGGTTTTCTCCTATTGATCTTAGAATAGATATCACATTTAGCAACACAAATATTAATCTCTCATTTATTTTTTATTCTTTTGAATGCCTTTCCCTTGAACCTTGCAGTTGCGAAGAATGGAGTGCCTATAGGTCCTAGAGTAAGTTTCAATAATCTAATCACACATTCATTTCATATAAGCATGATGATTAACGCCCAAAAGTGATGTTCACAAGCAGTCAATTGTAGCATAGAAGGACGGTCGTATCCATAGAGAGATAACAAAATAACAAGAAATATAAGCAAAATAAGAGCGTAAGAGAAAGATAAATAACAGGTGAATTAAAAAAAAGAAGAGTTTTTGAGATTTTGTTGGAAATAAAATAAAATAAAATGGAGGAAATTTGTGTGAAGAAAATTCAGTAGTTAAAACGATAAGGTGTCGAGAATCTTTAATGTTTCGTTCACCAATCCAAGTTTTGATTCACAATATAAAAGACTTGAATAAATTAAATCTCTATGTTGACTCCAGAAATATTATTATTACAAGTTATCTAAAATCGACAATATATCAATTTGCCAATATTGCAGTAAAAGACAATTTGCAAAATAATTTGAATAACAAAACAATGCATGACAGAATTACATAAGAAAAGTGTGACTGAACTTATATAAAAATTGGCACACAATATTTTGAAAAATAAATGAAAGATAGATGAGATTTAATTCATTCAGATATTGAACTTTACAGCACAAGGAATCAAAACCCCGAATTAGGTCACTCAACAGAAGTTCATCTCTAACCTCACCAAGAAAACTCTAGCCTAGCTTGCAAAACATTCTCACAAGTTCTAGAGAGAAAATATGAGACTGACAACAGACGACAGAAAACTGAATATCAAAAGCTTCTTAAAACCTTAGGCTAACCCATCTATTTATAGTGTTCAGAGGTTGTCTGTCAAATAAGGAAACAAACAATAAAAATAGAAAATTACAAAAGAAAGAGAAACAAAATAAAATTACACATAAATTAGGAGAAATCATATATTTGATTTGGGGAAGAAATCTGGTCATTTGCGGAGAAGAAATCCAGATTTAGCACTCATCTGGACACGTGTCGAAGCTTGGTTGGAGGAAAGGAATAGAGCCGCCACATGTCGCACGCGGAGTGGAGGAAGGGCGCTGGCGTGTGCTGGTAGGAAGCTGTCGCGGGGACAGCTGGCGCGCGCAGGATGGACGCAGGGCTGGCACGCTGACACGTGGGACCCACGCGGAGGGAAACTTGGACGCGCAGTGATGGTCGTGTGGAAGGAATGCGCTCGCTGAGGAATGGGCATGCTGTGGACGTGCGCGAGGAAGCGTCGGGGAGCGTGGAAGAGCTGGGGCCCACGCGGAAATCAGCTTGGCTGAAGGAAGGCGTGGCTCTCTCTGATTGGCTCGGCTTATGTGGCTCAGATGGGCTGAAAATATGACTTTCATGGCTTCTTCTTGTGTAGTTTTTTACACTGCTTTCATCTGTAAATAATTAAGCAAAAACTAGACAAATTCTAATTAAAAATATTCTGAATAAAAATAATGGAATTGGGAAAAGGCTACCCAAGTTCACAAAAGAGGAGGTTAAGTTGGTGAAGGGCTCAATAGATTTTGTTGGTATCAACCAATACACTGCCAACTACATGTATGATCCACATAAACGAAAATCAAAGGTCTTGGGGTACCAGCAGGACTGGAATGCAGGATTTGCTTGTAAGTCTTCCCTTCATTTTAGAACATATACAAGAGTTAGGAAACAAGAAATTCATTTTCTTGTAGGTTTTCTCCTCTTGATCTTAGAATAGATATCACAATTAGAAACACAAATACTAATCTCTCATTAATTTTATATTCTTTTGAATGCATTTCCCTTGAACCTTGCAGTTGCGAAGAATGGAGTGCCTATAGGTCCTAGAGTAAGTTTCAATAATCTAATCACACATTCATTTCATATAAGCATGGCTTCCAAAGTTATCTTCTTTAACTAAATAATTATAAGCCGAAATTTGCAGGCAAATTCTTATTGGCTTTACCAAGTACCATGGAGCGCTATGGAAACCCGACTGCAATCCTATCTGAAAATGGTACAATTGGGATAATTTCTTTGTTCTTTCATTGTTCGATCAATTATTTCTTTTTTTCCGTTTTTTTTTTTTTTTTTTTTTTTTGGTTTG